GAAGTTATTTCAGTGCAAGAGTTATTTGAAGGTGATTTTGCTAGGCTAGTTTAGCGAAAGCATGCCTAATATGGGGAATCTAAACGAATTGGTGGTTTGGAAGGAGAGGACCTATTGAATGGACTCCTAGATCGCCAGATCTAATTCCAATAGATTTCTTTTTGTGGAGTTACCTCGAATAGAAAGTATTTGTTCACAGGMAAAACAATCTGCAGGAGGTGAAAAAGAAAAATCCGAAAAAAACTGCATTCTATAACTCTGAAAATTGTTGAAAACGTGCATGAAGTTTATTGATCGCATTGGATATTGTCCAGCCGTARATGGCACAGATTTGGAACATTGTTGTTCTGTTTGTTGAAATAAATCGGCCCTTTTCAGGACTACAAAAGTCTTAAAGAAACCGTCGCTATCAAATATTGATAAGTCCAATCGTAAATTTCTCAGTTACTGTTGAGTTTCAGTMTTGGACATGTTACCAAAACCGTACTTAGAATGCAATGGAGAATTCAAAATTGAAATAAACGCAGGCGCTTCCATTTGAAAAAAAACTTTATGGTTGTAACCAAATGTAAATAAATTTGATATTAAAAAAATCGCATTTGCAAACAAAAATTGACGGGTCCGTGCTTTTTCCCTTAAAACAGCCCGCTAAATTTTAAATAGTAGACAATTTCAACTTGTAAATGCTATCATTTTGCAGCTAATTGGATTGGCGTTGATAATTTTGGGAATCTTATTCAAACTCAACATCACTGAAGTAACCAGAGTTATCCCGGACAACTTCAAAATCGCCCCAATATTATCAATCGTCATCGGTTCGGTGATTTTCATCACTGCCTTCCTGGGATGTTGTGGTGCTGTTAAGGAGAGTCCATGCATGCTCACCACTGTAAGCTCGCAAATTATGAACAAGAGGCTAGTTTTAATGACCAATTTTTAGTACTCCATTGTCCTCCTCACGATATTCATCATTCAAGTGGCCATTGGGGTGTATGCGTTCTTGCAAATCAAAAATGAGGGACAACTTAGGCAGACTATCTCAATCAACATCAACAGGACATTCCAGGATGGCACTCCTGGAGCTATTGAAACTAGAGATGCCACTCAGCGCTGGGTAAGCCATTGATGTTAAAAAGTTGAGCAATGGAATCACCTTGTTCAAGCCAATTTTCTAACACATTGTTACCGGTGTTCTGACGCAACTAGTAGGCTGGTTTAAATTGCATAAATTCTTGTCATGAAACGGCCTTCAGAGAAAGAAAGTGTTTCGCGAAACAGCCAACGACCATTACTTAATGAGGAGCTGTGTAATTGACAATTACTAAATTGCGTTTCAAAGTGGCAAAAAAATAGTTTTCCGATTTTTTAGCTTCAATGCTGTGGTGCGAATGGTCCGGATGAGTACTCGACTAAACCATCCAGCTGTTGCGCTCACGATCCCTGCCCTTCAGTGAACAACCCCATGTACGTAGAAGGGTGCTCGGATAAGCTCTATTCTTTTTTGGTTAGCAAGTCGCAACTGATCGCTAGCATAGCTATTGGAGTGGCAGCTATTGAGGTACCGGCAGTAACGCGGAGTTTAATAATTTAAGTTTAATTAATTTTCTTTTTAGATTATTGGAGCTATTTTCGGTCTCTGTCTTTCCAGTTCAATCAGGAACCACTACAGAAGACACATGTACGCCTGAGGTTATCAGTAGAGTCACCCGCAATCTCCAATACAAGTTCGTTGATTTTAATCGAAAACTTAACGAATATATAACGTGAATCTCTAGAATAATGCTTTTACGGGGTTTAAATTTCAAGTGTTAATTTTATTTATTAAACCTCTCGATTGACTCTTCAAGTAGTGTGAAGACATTAGACAGTTAAGTATTCGTATAAAAATACATCACTCTGTTTGTTTTTGTACAATATTAATTCACGTAGCTCACGGTGCAATTAATTTGGTTCTGACATGTCCGATTCGTTTTGATATTAGCAGTAGATCTGAATTTAAAGTGTGAAGTCCGTCCAAAATTTACATAACTGAATGCCCAGGAAAACGCATATGTATTTGCGAAAATTATTACAGTTTTTACGTGCAAACATTTTGTTTAGTCAAGGTTTGGGCCATTTTGATTAGATTTAAATGAAATATTTATGTAATTGTTAGATAGTTTTTATATCTCACTAATATTCTGTTAATATGTAAGCTGTGTTATTTAGTTCTGTTGTAATTTGCTTTTTTGTAATAAACAGTGCTTGCAATTTACAAACACCAGGCAGTTCTAATGGACGGTGATGCTATTGGAAGACAGGAAACATCTATTCAGTTGAGAATTAAATATTCAATCAGTACTCAAGAACAGTTTCCACTCGGATGAATAATTTATCCCCTTGAGACCGTGTCTTCAAGTTGTTGGACTATTACGTGGATGTGGGATATGCTGGATTAGTAGCTCAAGACAGTCATGAAACTTTGTTGGGAAATAATGCGACAAACCAAATAATAAGTAGACGCACATCGCCGCAGCTTTCATATACAGAATAATGCAGGTTTGATCTTGATAACTTGGGGAACCAATAGACCAGGTTAGAATAATCTCCCTATATGATATAGAAATTTTCCCTAAATGACATCGTTTCGGAGATGCAGCATCGAAAAAAAATCCCTAGCTCTTGCTTCATAAGTTCTGAACTTTTTATCCGATTGTAGTGAAATTCGACATACAAACCCTTTTAATGCTCTGCCACTAATTTTATATCAAAACTTGAGCAAAAATTTTATCTTGCTTTAGGGGTATTTAATGAAATTTGAGACAATGTAGCGCTCTAGGTGTAAGCTTCATTAACCGGTGCAGCAAGCCGTGGAAACTCAATGATTTGTGTCAACTTACGTTTGTACAAAATATTGTCACAATTATATTTTAAAAGTGATCGAAATCCTTTGAATTATTTTGTCTGGGGATGAATCTTTGCATCAATTGATTCATAGGATTAGAAACGCCTGTGATAGTTTCTTAATGCCGAAAATGTAATTGCAGTTTGAGCAATTAATGAAATTCTTGTTTTAGTTGGTAAAACTCGTGTTTACTTAAAAGTTGTGATTAAATTATTGTTTGAGATTTTCACATTTTTTATAGCACGAAAAACATTTTTCAGGTGCATTTGTAACAATATTCTGCACAAGCATCAGTTGACACAAATGATTGGGTTTTCATAGCTTCCTGGAACGTTTAATAAAATTTACTTGACCACATTGTCCCGAATTTCATTAAATATCTCAGAAGCAAAATAAAATGTGAAAAAATTACAAAAGACATACAAATTTTTGTGAGTGAATAGCACTGTAGTCGTTTTACTGAAAATATTGTAGCGCAGGTTTTTCTGCAAAAAGTAGGGGAGATGACCCACAAAATACCCTTCCAGGGAGATTGGGCTGTTAGTTTGTCAAGTCATTAAAAGTGTTTCTATTCCAAATTCCACTACAATCCGATGCTCAACACTTTAAAGAAAAAAATATCTCCAAACCGATGCGATTTTGGGAAAATGTTCGTATCATATCGAGACCTTGTTCTAATCTATTCTGTTGATTCCAAAACTTATCAAGATTAAACCTGAATCACCCTGCATAAGGTAACCAGTTTTAGAAAAGAATTTTGCTTTCCAAACCAAATATGTACTTGCATGTTTCCTAGTGTGACGATTTTAACATACAAGTATTTATTTTTGCAGGTAACAAAACGGTCCCGGAAAGGAGCAACATTATTAAAGCAGACGCGAATATTTCCCATTTGCATGTGGAATCAGCCCTGCCTTTTGCAAAATTCTCACAAAATGTTGATATTAATAATCAAACCATTAATATCATCCCGGAAACTGCGAATAAGGTTGCTTTAAAATAAGTTCCAGCTATTTCTGCCATCGAGTTTTATGAACAGAGCAGATATTCATGGCTCCAGATCTGTTGGCAACTATTCAAGAACATTTCACTATAAGGGAAGATCGTCTAAAAAGATATTAATTTAGAACAGGCTGCGTAAATTATCAAACTTGGCCAAATGACAACGCTTTTAGAGATGCGTTGGCTCTGGAGTTGCCAAACTCGTTGGTAATTTGTCTTTATTTCTGCAATGCGGATTTTTCTTTGTTGGACGACAACGACCCAATCCCAGAGCAATTTATCGTACATTCGAATTCCATTTTGAAAATTGTTTTTGAATTGTGACTTAAAAGCGTCAAATGAGTATATGTTTTCTGTTCAAAGACTGCCAAACGTTTCCATTCAACTGGAGAAACAGATTAATTTGCAATTTGAAAACAAGTGAATAACTTTTGCTTGAAACCAGGCATACGATTCATATACGACATACCTTGGATTCCGTAGAAATTCACTCCCTTGAAAACTCTCGTTTTCTTTCTTCAGACTTCGACGAGACGCACTTTCAGTACCAGTCCGAAACGCACCACAGAACGAACAAGAGAAACTTTGTCGCTTAGAAATTCATCGATAGTCCGAAAAAAAGTAAAAGAAACTATGTGAGCGACTCACATAGTTTCGCCTAGTACTATGCAATAATAGAGAAGCGTGTCAAGACGTGTTTGAAGTTTGTTTATATTGAGACAGTTAATATAAACATGATAAATCAAACCTAGTTTCAACCGGCGTTTTTTCAGAAAAAGGGACATAAACAATGCGATTCTTCAATAGGCCCAACTGATCAAAAATAATAAAATATTCCCTTAACACACTAATAAAACGAGCTATTCTAAAAGCGTCGTATTTTTGGCAAATATATTCATTGCTGAGTATATTGTATAAAATCCCGGACATAGTCATAGCCCAAATAAGATAATAATTTTCCCTTTTATTTAGTATCGTGTTGGTAAACTAACTCAAAGATTTTACCCCAAGGCTTTTATTCCAATAACGACCGAGGACCGAGAAAAGAGTATTTTTATCAGCACCGTTGTGTAAAATTACTTCTATTTGTGTCTTTTTGCTATTGTCTTTGGAAAGCGGAAGATGAAAATTTTCAAGTTTTGTTCATAGTTCTTTGTTTGCTATTTTGCTGCAAAATAACAAATATGCTTATTCTTATTGTATTCGGAGAAAGGGTAATAAAAGGCGAACAGACAATATCAACGTAATTTTGCATTGTCTATTTTAATGGGCAGTCTAATGTGAATATTAAAGTTTGAAAGCGTTTTAATTAAAAAGCACGTATGCGGTTAATTACTATATCAACATCGAGCAATTATTCTCTATCTCGGTCATTTTTTGAACAATAAACTTTGTAAATTTGCAACGCCTTGTCAATATAATAATGAGCACAAGATGCACTCCTTCCCTGTTTAAGTTAAACCGAAAACATAAAATAAACCTGAAAAATTCCGTGATTATTTTTGTCGCGTAGTTTTAAAGCGTATCGAAATTGCCGATTCGCCTTTGAAACGCCAAATTTATCCAATCGATTGAACTTGCAATCTTCCTTAAAATATTTTAATAAAAGCTGGATGTCTACCTATGTCTATGTGCTCTTAAGCAATCAACTGACATCTTGCACGTTCAAAGCAACTCCAGTCGACATAAAAAGCAAATTTATCAGAGCATTTCCAATGAAATTTTAAATTTATTTGCGACTAGTTCGCTTATGAAAGTTTTCTTTTTGCTACTTTGTATTTATTTTAAAAAGCACGCGGACATCTAACGAGAAAAATCTGTGTCTGTTTAATGTTATTAGATTTTACAGCCTAAATTTCCTAATTAATAAATCACTTCTCGTTAAATTGGGAGCAACATATTTATTTCACTTTAATGAAGTGTGATTATGATGATAACGGAAATGAGCAACTGCCTGAAATAACAACTAAATACGGGATTACCGAGAATATTAAAGAGACTGGGATTGGTCTTCTTTTCAAAGCCCATCAAACATTTAAATGTGTTATCATTAATATGTACGCTTTAGATAAGCATTCATTAAGGAAAAGTCGGAAATACTCAAGACGAGATTAAAGCACGTTTCCTCCCGCCAATTTGAAACACAATTGAAAATTTAAAGAGTCATTTAAATTTACGTAGGTTTCGGAATATATCAGCTTTTACTTCCTTCTTCGCCCGTTTTATCTGAAACATTATGTTTCCAACCAAAACAGCTAAACTATATTAATTATTCAGCAGTAGCATCCATTAATTTATGCTTTAAAGGTATCATAAATCTTCATTTTTCTGCAGTTAGCGCTTAATCTGTCATATTGCACAGGTGTGGAATAAAGTAGGTCACAGAAGAAAGAGAAAGAAAGAGCATGGTTTCAGTACTGGAATTTCTACCCGGTGCAGTTGTTTCTCTATCTAAAGCACGCATTTATTAGTGCGCTTTGTTGCTCTCATATAATCAGCTACAAATATAAGCAAATTCAGGTATATTTGGGCAAGTAGGTACTTATTTTATTATAACTACACCCCGCTCATGGTGTTAACTGAAAATTGGTGGAAACGAAATAAGCAGAATGATATCAGCTGAAAATGACAATAATAAGAATGATACCTGTTGATGTTGGGGCACTCATTTATCACGACAGACTTATAGCCAACACGGGACGCTTTTCAGACTGTTCCCACGCCTTTTCTTGTCCAAATTAAATGTTTAATTAGCCCCAGACTTTAAATTTATTCTGCTAGTTTATTTTCGCCGCAGCAAAAGAAGCATCTTGGAGATTCCCCAATAATTTAAGGGCGGCAATTAATTCATTTCCAGTTCTTCATTGTTAAGGATGTCACAGTCTTACTCGCCACCTTGAGCAGCTATTTCGGTGACGAAAGCCGAATAAAATATGTATAATATTAAGCTAATGATTGAACGGGGATTATTGATAATCGTAGGGTTTAAAACAAATTAGGAGCATATGTAAGGTGGTACAGATTTCAAGATGTGCTAATCTCAGGTGCCACCAGGACCGAATTCCAAAAGTCAACATGGAAACCCGTACATTATTTAAACAAAAACAGTGCCTGAGATTAGCTGATCTGAAAATCTATATTTCCTCACAAAAGAACCCTGGTGTTCCCAGAGGAATAATAAAGATGGTGGTAAAAAAATACAGAAAATCAGCCTCAGCCGACTCTGTTCTAATAATATTTTGTACAAATTTTTAAATATTGTCTATTCCATAACTATAGCGATAATATTTACATGACCTTAACCTCAGGCAAAGCTTTTCACTGGTATTTATATACTCAGGATGGCGCAAGGTTGAAGAAAAGACGATTTTTTACCAAATTAAGTTCAGCAAATAAATCCTTTTTTGCATCGAAACAAGCAATTCCGCCAAATTAAACAGTCATTTATTTGGACAAGAAAGGAGGCGAATAGTAAAAAGATCACGTTAGCAATAACTTAACCGTCATAAAAGACGACCAACAAGTGTCCTTATTTAAGCTTCAGAAAACGAAGATGATAAAACCGGCGTTACTGGCGAAAGTATTGTATATCTTTTCAAAGGCTATTTCAATGAAAAAGGTTCAATATGAATGCCTTTTTTCCGCATACGGAATCAGGCCAATCTGGTTTAAGTATTTCAATTTATCACAGAGTTTTCCACTTCGCACCTATTGGCAATTTCTTAAAAACATTAAGGCAGATGAAGAAACTCATTTAGTTAGGAATATTAAATGAAGCAGGATTGGAGGAAGGCAAAATTGTGGTGGAAACACCACAACAGTCCGAAAAAGGAAAATAATAAATTGTTTTAGACGCAAAAATAAATTTGATCGAAAAGCATTGCTGTGATCCAGGTATAATTCATAAACGGCAATGGCAAGCAAAATCCCCATAAAAGCGGGATTTTTAACGGCTGTTTCAGTTATATTCGGAAAAGTTACGTGAACTAGACACCTCGGTTCGGTTTTCATAAATATCTATCGAGCAAGTCGCCTAATGGATCTCGTATTTCGATCACGTTCGAAAACTTGCTGTTTCGATTTGGGGCCGCTGCAAATCCCCCACAATCATGAAGATCTCTCGCCAATCCAATATATGCGCGCCCTTGTTGATCCCATAATAGTCGAGCCGAAAAAACTATACGTTTATACTAAGTGGCTCATTTTTTATACATTTCAAACCTTTCCCAATCATCACGCAATCAAGCCACATAGCAAGACACTGATAAGACAAACGAATTCTCTTATCTTTGCTTTAAGCCGTTGATGAGAGGCTTCATTATCTGAAACCGTATTTTCATCGTTACGAAATTCAGCGGTAAACAGTGAAAGCAAATGACTTATGGTACATAAAATCGAGAACAACTAGTTCAAAAACTCTCCAGCTTCAGGAGAGTCGAATCGTTTCCATACCTCCAAGCGTCGAGCTTCATCCATAAAAAATCCTAATTGGGATCCCCTGATGACAATTGGCGACACTTTATTCCTTAAACTTTCCATTTAATCCGTGGCTTCGAAATTCCGGAAAGTAAAGACGAATATAGAACGGGAATAACCTGCTTTATTTACATAACTTTACCACTGTTGAGCCATAGAAATTGCCAATGATTCTCAGCAGAATATACAGGGTGTCTGCACAAAAATCCTGCTACAGATTCCAAGGGTGAAAACATGATGATTTGATGATGATGAAATGAATACAAATATTTTACGAATGAAGCAGAAGATGTGAACGCAAAATGAAGAATTAGATGAACTGTTTTGGTGGCAAAGTCAAAGGAGGTTGAATCGTGACAACGAGCAGGCCAGCGAGTAGGTGATGTTGAATTTTCCTCAGATTAAACGTAGGTATTGGAAGATTGATGATCGGCGGATGCTTTTTGTTGCATGAAAAAGAGACGTGAGCTTCCAGAGGTTGATCTGGACAAGCATAGTGCAGGAACTTAAAATCGGAAGGAATCATCAGCTTATTAAAAAAGGATCCATCGATTTTCCAGCTACGGCTGGGAAAATTGAAAGTCATTAATTCAGTCGTCAAACAACCCCGTTAAAAATAGACTTCGGAGAGAAATTCGTAAATCAGATCAATTAATTTAATGGGCCTCAGTCTACTAACAGCCTTTTGACGGAAATCAAAGATTAATGTGGTGCTCAGCGAGACCAATTTTCCGATAACGTAGAGGTGAGCTCTTATGTGCAAAAATACAAACGTGTCAAAACAAGCTCTATATCCGACCGGTTGTGGCTCCTTCTTTTCCTTCACATTATTCATTGGTTACGATAAAGGGATTTTCGTTGGAGAACTTTTATCTGAATGGTAATTTGTTTAGAAAACGGCCACGGACAAAAACTTCACCGGTGCTTATTCGCACCTCGGCCGCAGCTGTTTGAATAATCAGCGATGAGCGATAAGCCGATATTGCTATGTTAGACGAGCAGAAGTTGCTTTAATAGAAACTCCCAGACTCTCATTCCCATAAGCTCATGAGTCGGTACAATGATACGGATTATTATTTTTTTATTTTTGTTAACCGCTCTTTTTCAAAGAGCAAAATCACTTGAAACAAGCGGCTCTTTTCTATTTTCCTCGTCAATGTCGCTTGAACGAAAAATAAAATACCGCATTTCTCTTTCTCGTCTCCGAGTTCTGTAATTCCTAATCCGGCCTGATTATAACCGCAATAAAGTAAAAAGTTTCGAACTGGTATGTCCCAACAAAAACTGCAAACTTTTCACGCCGCCAATTCACATTTAAATCCTTTTAGTTTCGAGTTTCTTCATTGGCGCGCGACATTGATGCTAATTTCTATTTTGGCTTTTGCAAAAAACGAGCTCTTCAATCAACAAAATATCCTGAAAATTAATTACTTACTTTACAGCTACTGGCAAAATTTAGGTGAATATGTGGTTGTAGTTCGTTTAAATTTGTTCGATTGGCCACTACAGAAGCTGTAAAGAAAACAGTCAATTGAGCGAAATTTTCATATCAGTGATAAAACGTTATCTATATAGCAAGTATTACAACATCTGAGATCCAAGTTGGAACGAGCATTAAAAATGATAATTTATTGTGGTTGCAGCTGAAATCGAATTTGGTAAGCTTGATTTGCCACTTATTTCCCTACCTATGCACTAAAGCTTTGCGACATATTCATAGTTCTTGAAAGAAACTTGCGACGCCCATGAAGTGAAATGCTAGGAATTCTAGCAACATTTCAGGAGCTCCATATGTTTCTCCATTTCCATAAAACTAATAAAGCGTAAATACAGAAAGAAATCCTTCAATGTACTATGAAATTTGAAACTTTTCAACAAATAGTAACGTGCACATCGCAAGAGTTAATTGTTTGTTAATAATTTACAATGGACAGCTAATTTGCTAGTCTTTAGCTTATCGCCATGGTTTCGTACAAGCTTTCGCAGAAAATCCACTTTATCCACCAAAAGCGCTGTCTCATAAGCATTTCAAGCAAGTAACACCTTAGATATTTACTATTTAAATTCACTGGTATGATTAATATCCTAATTACCATCATTCCTAATAACAGCTATTTTCAGCTTAACCAACTCAACGCAAGTGATTGTATATATTCGTTACCAAGTCCTCTATAAACGACTTATAAAAAGTGGAAAAAACAGTTTCTATTGCAGCCGCAAGTGATTAGTTGATTCCTTTAGAATGCCAAAAGAAATTCTGGAACATGATGAGACCTTTGTTTTTAAGCAAATTGAGAAGGAGCTTGGCAAATCCAAGCAGGATCTTGAAAAGGATTCACAAATCGTTGAAGACTGGTTGAAAACACAACCTCATCTGCCAGAGATTCCAAGTAGGGCCATTAAGTAAACTCACAAACTACGTTTTAATTTTTTCCAATGCAGGCAAAGCAGTCATCCAGTCTTTTATATTGTTCAATAAATTCAGCATTGAAGCAACCAAGCAAAAACTGGACATGTATTACACCATCAGGAAGACGCTTCCTGAGTTTTTTAAAAAGCATCCATGTTCCCCAGAAATGGTGCTAGCGGCTAAGGTTGAGTAAGTAGGTTTAAGAATGGAATAGAAGTCACTTGACTACAATAGTCAATCAAATGGTGTTTTAACTGTTTCCATGGTCATATTTTTATAGATATATATTTCCACTTCCCAAGCTATCAAAGGACGCTAGAAGAATAATCTACATAAAAATAAATGAAGATTATGGTCCAGAAAGTTTCAGCTTTGAAGCATTCGTTGCCCACATTTATAATGTCTACGAGATCTTGTTCCGAGAGGATTTATTTGTTGGCGCTCATTTCATTATTGACTGTGTTGCTTTGCAGATGAGCCATGCCACCAAATTAAATCTGATGACTATGAAAAAAACATCAATTGTCTCAGAGGTAAAGAAATGTCGATAGAAATTCCTGAAAATTATTTGAAAAGTTGTTTTATTATTCAGAAAGTCTTCTCGAATAGGGTGGCCTCAATAAATTTAATAAATGTCCCTCCTTTTATTGAGGGAACTTTAAAATTGGTTAATGCTGCGTTACCAGAAAAAGTGAGATCAAGGGTAAGATCAGGGCAGATCAATTTTTTTGAGAACGACAAATGACAATCAATAATGTTTTAGCTGGAAGTTCACAAGAACGCCGATGATATGTTAAAGTTGTTCTCCAAAAAGATATTACCAAAAGATATTGGCGGAGATGAAGAATCATTGGCTACTTTGGCAGGTAAACGAGCAGCAGCTTTTCTATCATCTTAGTACAACAATTCTCAAATAATTTTTCAGACTTATGGTCGAAAAAGTTTGAAGAATATAAAACTTTATTCGACAAACTCACCACAATAAATGTAGACGAATCCAAGAGGCCCACAAAATTGGTGAACGACGAACTTCTAGGATTTTATGGCAATTTCAAGAAGCTGGATGTTGACTAATTCAGTCAAAAAATAATTGTATTCTCTCTTCATTTCGCTGATATTGTTATCGTGTCATCGAGTTTACTTATCAATAAACTTCCCAAAATTTTATGTGTTTACTGGGTAATTACTAAGGTTTCATTATCTGTTAATTTTGTTTACATACGCCCGTTATTGTCACTTTGTTATAATTCTTAAACAATGTTTTGAATACACTTTGTTGTTATTTCAAGTTTTTAATTTACCTTCACCACCTCAGCCACCTCTCGCTAGTTGCCTCAACTTTACCCTCAATAAGCCTCAAAATCAATACCCCCACAAACAAGATTCTCCCTCTGTTTGCACTTGATTGATTGAATATCGGAAAAGTTTTTATATCGAGGAAATTAATAGAGGGCAGAAAGATCGATTAGGTCGATAGCTTTTCCTTATCGAATGAAGATTATTTATATATGGATATCAGGAGATATTGGGAATTTTTGGCTAAAGGATTTACGAAAGAATTGATTGACTATTGGATCTCAAGCTTCTGATGTGTTTTTCCACGAAGTAGCTGCATTTCTCGCTCACTGAATATGAAATTTTGGTAGATTTCAAAGAGTTTAAAGAAGTTTGTTTTCTTTGAAATAATTTAATCCTACCCTTTTTACGCAATTTTCGGTCAAAAATAAAAATTTCACATTCGTGTTTTTTGAGCTCAATGGATTGTTTTCGATCTAAGAAGCTCCCCAATACGCAGATATAAGGCGCTCGGTCTATAATAAGAAAAATATAGTCGGTTAAAGATAGTGACCTCTCAAAAACTGCTTAAAATGGGCAACTAATGTCGATTATTTCGAATTTACAACGTCTAGTGTATTTTTCGATAAACTTGCTGCATTTGTCGCTTCCTTGAAATGATGATAATATGGATTTTAAGGCATTTTGCAAAATTTAATTTTTGTGGAAAAAATCGACCTCTACCTTTGCGAAATTTTCTGTCAAAAAGGCATTTCTCATGCGTGTTTTTTGAGCTCAATAGATTGCTTTCGACCTAAGAAGCTCTCCAATATACATATATAAAGTGTTTCGATCTATAATAAGAAAAATATCGTGACCTAATGAACGCGACCCCTCAAAACACGTAAAACCGCACAAAAATTATTATCGATTATTCGATTATTTCGGATCTGAAGCTTCTGAAGTGTTTTTCCACGAAGTAGTTGCCTTTGTCGCTACCTTAAGATGAAAATTATGTAGATTCCAAAGCATGTTACGAAATTTATTGAATTTTCTAAAAAAATCGTCTTTTTCACATGCGAGCTTTTTGGTCACAAAAGAAAATTCCACCTGAGGGTTTTCTGAGCGCAATGGCTTGTTTTCGACCTTTCTCTGTGACACAAACACTGGCACTAGGAAATGCAAAACGTGTTCAATTCTACTAGAGTTCAGTAACAAGTCGCGTATCAACAGCCGCGGGTCAAAAGACAAAAGCGATAATATTTATAGTTGCAATCGACAATCCGTCCTTGACCAATGCTTAAACGAAACGAAGATGATGAATATCGACTTGTTCTTCAAACTGCATAAGTAAGCGAAATTTAGATTGCAGTGCTTCAATGGACGGGCAAACTTTACAAGAAATATTAATAATTTGTGTATGCTTTCCATTATATTGTTACGGGCAGTACCAAGTCCCTACCCCAACATTTGAAGCGTTTAAGCCCAAAGGATTTCGTGTTTCCATACCTGGTAAGTCCAGATAAAACCTAAAAACAACATTTTCCTCGCTTAAAATTATTGTCGTTTGTAACCGTTGATATTTAAGATGACGAAAAAGTGGAACTATTCGCTTTTCATGGAAAAATCAACAAGCCCATTATTCAGATTGAACCAGGAGACTTTAGTCAAGATGTTCTAAAAGCAGTCAATGGCAGATTTACTTACACCGATCCCAACATAAAGCTCAAAGAAAATGATGTAATAAATTACTGGATATTCGTGCAACATGATCAGTTAGGATTTCGCATCGATGAACAGTCTTGGACGGTTGATGGTAGCTCACTACTCACTCGGGCTACTCAATTGAGGCAACTGAAAGATTCTGATGTGTTTCAGAGTTACGCCCTATCGAAGAATTGAACGAGGTTTCGAGATGCATAAATCCCCGTATAACAACAGAAGAACCCAATAAATTGTGCCCAGGAGATGAAATAATACATGACACATTTTCAGGAAAAGCTATAGATTTAAACACTTGGAAAGTGGAACAGTATATTCCGGAGGAACTGGTAAGGGTTTCATAACAATCGGTGTCCAAACCATTGCAGATTCTTTAAAATTTTAGGATTTTCCTTTAAATATCTACAAAAACAGCCCTGAGATCGTTGAAATAGTTGACGATACTCTACAAATCCGGACTCAATTGGCGCAGAACTTTTCTCAAAATATCAACTTGAATCCAGGGTATTTGGAATTGAATTTATAAAAAGCTGGCCCTTAAAACAAATTTCAGGTGTACGCGAACAGACAATATGTTTTGTGCTAAGTCTAATCGTCATCAAACAGTTATGTGGAATCAACCAACAGTCTCAGGAAAGCTGACTTCTAAGAGAACGTTCTCTGCCTTCGTCAATATAACCATTAGAGCTAAGCTGCCTAAGGGAGACTATGTATATCCAGGTATGAATCAATTGATTTATTTTATGGTTTCTTTGGAACCTGGCTTGTAGAAATTTACCTGCAAGATGTGGCAAACCCGGAGAGCTTAATATTAATCGCATTTACTAGAGGAAATGAGAACTATGAAAAAAATGGTATCGATATTGGTGGCAAACAACTTTATGGGGGCCCATACAATATATCAATAAAAGATGCTAAAAACCCTCACAATTATTTGGCAATTTATAAAAACGCAGAGCACATTGGAAATAAATGGCATACATTTCGCGCAAATTTAGGGCCTGGTATGTATTTTAATTCAAACGATTATTAAAGTGTTATGAGGATACATTATGAAGAGAATGAACATTGTATTAATGCACAATCTAATCTCTAGACGGACTTAATTTTTATATTGACGATCAACTGTATGGTCGGTTTAGCTCTGTAAGCTCACCTTATGCTGATTTTAAGCAAATCGAAATGGTAAGTGGTCCTTGAAAGTTTTATTTTAAAATACTTCTACTTGTTAATTTTAGGTGCGCCTTGTTCTTGGAATAGCCGTTGGAGGACATTCCCTATTTCCTGATGGCTACACATCATCAGGAAAGGAAAAACCATATAAAAACTTAGACAGGTACTCAGTAAGAGATTTTCTATCCAAATCTAGTTGGTTGGAAACTTGGAGCAGTGACACCGGATTACAGGTTGATTATGTTACAGTTACCGCTTTATAGTGTTCAAATGGGAGTTTTTTACTTGAAATAATAAATAAGTACCACAAATTATTGCTAGTTTTGGTTCAGTTTATTTTTCAGGGGTATTTTTTTGATGAAAACATATGGTTCGAGAAATATTATGGAAAAACTACTGCTATGATTGTTAAGTTTTGTTTTATTGAAAAATTAGCATAATATTTATTTTATTATAGTACACATTTTTGGCTTAGAAAATATCGGAGATTGAGATATTGACAAAGAAAAACGATGTTTTAAAAAAATCTGATGTTTTAACAGAAATTAAATATTTATTGTTTTGCCCTACGCTCCACTACTTTAATGGCAAAACGTCTCAATTAAGACAATCTTCCCCTGCGTTCTTTATATTATATAAATATACTTTTGCGAAATAAAAATGTCTCATTAAATTATTAGAAATTAATTGCTTCCTTTCTCATTAAGTATTAGATCAGTTAGTGTAAACTGTATGATTATTTCTGATCTTTCGACGGATAATTTAGTGAAAGACTCAACCAGAACGAATATGATTTTTCTCCTAAAGCGCCATGTGTGCGAATGAGAGAACAATAGCGTTCCAGATTCAAACGATTCGATACGAAGAATGTCAAGTGAGACTGCACATGGCAACATTGACAACAATCTTTGTTTTGATTTGGTGATTAAGTTGACTATTTGAATATACACCGTAAAAAATCCAAGTATTTGTTAATTAAATAGAAAAATGTCCGGCCAGCAGCACCCTAAACGTGAGCATCAAGCACGAATCGCGTTAAGATATAGACGAACTTCTATGGACTCAATGAAGACTGAATTCCGCAATGTAAGTTTGCCATGTAAACATTTGGTGTTCAATTGCATCCACCGGCGATTAAATATTCTGGAGAAACTCGCCAGACTTGTTCATTTTTAACGTTTCTGCATGATCAGTCACGAATCACAGCCCTTAAGTCGCTAATTTAGAGACCGCAGGACAAGTAGAGCTTGTAGGGCACAGCCCCAAGTTGTCATAAACTCACACATTCCAAAATCAATTCCTGTCTGGGAAAAATCCATAAAAATGGATTAAATTGTTGCAATTTAATCCATTAACTTGTTATACTACACCTCAATATTATTTACCTGTACGTAATTTATCATTTGATACTTTGGAGTTGAATCAATGTAAAACACAATGTATTTCAACTAGAGATGAAATATTACGAAAATACGCCGTAGTTTTAATTTAAAGTGTTGCGTTGTAAAGTTTCTAGATCATTTAATTTGATTAATTACCAAAGTATTATAACTTTTGGTGTGAGAGGGATCCTTACTCCCACCTTCTTATTAGCTCACATTCTTGTTGAAAATATTCAAATCAGTTTAATTTATTAGTTTTTATAGTACATACAAAGAAAAACGCACATTTTGTCGCTTCCATAACAAACACTTACGGGCTTTACTGCTTCCTAAACTTTCGTCAAAGGTCAACTTGCCCAAAGTTACTTAACTCATGGTTCGGAACCACTCTGTATACAATCTAGTTTCAATCTTTTACTCACAGAGGTTTCTTGCGCGACTTCGAACAACACGGAGCAAGAGTGTCGACCGTTTACGCAGTATTGCTGAGAACTATGATACCGACAGGGAGTTCAATTCACTTACTGAGCTTCGACGAGTGCTACTTACCGAGCAAAACCAAAAGAGCCTAGTAGGTTCTGATGATGTCAGTGATTTGCTGAGTGAAGTTGAAGAAGAATTGCGACAAGTCAGGTATGATTCGTCTACTAACTGCTCGGTTTAAAAAATTATAAAACAAAAACATTTTATCAAAACAGGAAGTTTTTGTTGTTAACTTTACTTTGGAAACGAGAACTAAACTTAATTTTTAATATCCGTATTTCGACAGCGAGGCATTTAACGGGTAATATTCCCATAAGGTCTTATTGTACTTGGCTTACCTTGTATCAAATTAATTTTTATTTTTTATGCTCATCGTACATTGAAATATTTTTGCATTAACATAATAAAGTTTGCATTTGTGCCAACAAATCCTGCATATTTTACAATTGGGTTGTTAATGTACTTTTGGACACTTCTTAATTTCAGACTAGAATATGAAGCTGACACCTATGCGGAACAAAGTATTGAAGAGACTGAAGATGTAGTGCATCGATTTCTGACAAAATGCGAGATTTGTCTGAATTTATCCGTAGTGCCCATTTGCTCCAAGTGTAATTCCCAGTTAAGTTTCGATATGAACTAAAATGCAGATATTGATTGAAAAAAGAGCTTATTAGTCTATATTCTTCTATGTGTTTTATGCATATTTCTTCCAAATTTTTCAAATTAAACTGTTTCCTTACTCAGCCTATGAAGGCTTTCCTAGCCGGTGAAAGTAGCGATTGAAAACTTTTCCGCGCTTAGTCGTGGATCATTGAAATTACATCTGAAGGGAAATAAATCATCAAAAGCGATGAGCAAAAATTCAATGATCTTTACCTCCGGGAGCAATTCCATTGAACCACGGCTTATAAGCGCATATAACTTCAGTCGATAATTTCCTGTTTTTTTTTACTTTTTTACTAAATCAACCTCGCTTTCTTTAATTTTCAATGTTTGTTTCCGAAATTCAGTTCCTATGAACGTCTTCTTTCGACGGGCCTGATAATGGTGGTTGCTCAACATTGGAATCATATTTTGTCATAACATTAAAATAATATCTTCATTGTAGCCCCTTTTCGGGTTACTACTACATGGTAATTATCCCTCTCACTGTTGAGGCAAGTCAACTAGTTTACCGCTTATTTAATTTTCTTCATTTAGACTGATTCTTTGTGTTCAAGAGGCAAAATCTGCTTTTTAATATTATGTATTAATTTCGTTGATTGATCGACGTTTTTTCCGAAATATGAGAGATCTAAACTTAATGATTTGAAGCATAGGGCAAAACGCTTAAGTTTTAGTTGTATATATTTTTTACTTTTGGCAATTCTTCAACAACTTATATTTAAACGGGAATAATTGTGGAACTAAATAAGCAACAATTAGCTATAATTGCTTTAAACATAATGTTATAATTGGCGGCTCAAGTAACTTAAATCGGTTGGATTACCAAAAATGGGTCTATACATATATATACATAGCATTCACAAAACACTGACAGAGTAAACGTTGAACGAATGAACTCCAACACCAATAAAATATTGACTTTTTAAACAAGAGTAATTGCTTCCTGGCCATCTTCGGCCGAAATTTGTTGTCGATTTTCTATAAAAACTTTCTATACTGTTTTACAACCATGGTTTGTCTGAATTGGCAATTTCATATTCAATTCAGGAACAAAATAAGAATAAACGCAAAGTTTTTAGATTAATAGTTACAGACAAAAATGTGATTCATTTGAATGACTAATGCCACTTTTAGAAATGCTGTTAATTTAGTTAAATTCAAATAATTTAACGTAATGTATAATCACCATTCGCTCTCCCTCTGTTTATAATAAAAATACCATGAATTATGTGCCATAATCAAGGAAATCCTATATTATCTGTACCCCGTAAAATTGTTCATCTGAACAATGCAAAACGCATTCAGAAAATAGCGATTACTTTGCCCAAATGAACAATTTTTACAGGATCTTTTCCCCTGTTCGTCATTTGATGTGAAACAACTATTACATGTATAAATATAATATAAATATGGAAGGGTATTTTTTACCAACTATGTTTCATGATACAGAAGAGCTAAATCAGTATTTTTACACATTCCTGACGTCAGTACCTGCAATGTGGCATACAGGGTGCATAACATGCATTGATTAGACTGGTTTTAAAGGGTTGAGAGTTTATGAAGTAAATATTAAGTGTTGTGATACCCATGATTATTTTCCTTTGTTACAATGTTTATAATAAACTTTTTAAAATTCTATTGCCTGTAATTTTATTGGCTTTCAAGCTTGAAATCCATCAAACATGCGTACTTCGCTAGAATTAAAACCTACAGTCGGCGAAAAATTATTTGATTGAAACTTATTTCAGATTCTTTCACACCACTTTTTCCACCATATCAGAAGCACTATGGCGCATTAGATTATTGCTCTGATTGCATATAGGATTTTATTTTTGTACTAGAAAGCTACAGAGTGGCCCCATTTTAATGACAAACACGTTAAGAGCGGCACAAAGTTAAATGTCGGCGAAATTATAGTCAGAAATGTTGCCGCACAAATTTAATATTGCGACATTTACGTACCAAAGGATAAAAACAAACACAAAAAGCTGCAAATAAACATATGATATTCGTGATTGTTACACAGGACTTTTCTCAATCGTTCATAGTTGGTATATTAATTACATATATGCATAGATTGGTAACAAATAATAATATCCGATACTAAATCAAAGCTGATTTGCGCATTTGAATATTGCGATCAGCCAAATGCTAAACTAAATATAAACCAAAACTAATGAATATGCTAAAACCATTACATTACTGAAAAAATTACTGATAAACATTTTCCATTTCTAAAGTGCTTAATTGTTTTAACCCTCTGGGCTTTCTACACATACGTAACGTATTTACATGGAAACATTATAAGATAACACAAAACTTGCCATTTGGCCATTATTTTCTTCGTTTCGTTTTCATGTTACGAGCGGTTATACGGAAATACCGGAAGGCAAAAACGGATTCTAACAAAAATAAAACATTTCTATATTCAAATGGACGTTAACATCTACCTATAGTTGAAAACCAGTCAATAGACATTATGACTGACTCCTCGGGTCAATCAGGATTCGATCAATCCTGATTATCAAAATATAAAAAAATAATTGCATCAATACCGAGATGTTGATCACCGTATTTTATATGTATATTGATCAAGATATCACCACTAACAAATGACTAATATGTACTTAGAACTGTGCAATTAGTATTTACACTTTGTAAATATTCAACCAATTCGCAACGACGATGTGGTCGTGATGAAAGAAACAATTCGTTTGAAATTTAGTAGGCTATTTTTTTGGGAAAGGCTCGGATACGTAATTAGAATTTCAAAATGCGCATATTTGAAAATTACATTATGCCAGTTTTGGACGATAAATTCTCAAACTTTATTGCCACAACATGTTATTAGTTATTAACGTTATTTACTCGCTGATCATTTTCCCTTGACGGAAAAAATATTTGCAGTACTTACAGTGATGCCACTCATCATCAAATTTCTTGAGTATTTATTGGTTAAATTCATGCTTAATGACCAAATTTAACGAACACTAAAACAATTGACTGCACAATCAGAACTGAACGGTTGTTTGTACAAGAATTTGGCTGACGGAAAACCGAAATAACCGTTCAGAATTAAAATTCTGTTAAATTCGCATTGAGCTATGTTTATGTTAGATAACCAACGAAGAACACCGATACTTTGTGACTAAAAATCCTCGTTAGTCACACGTATCGAAGGCAAAGTCTCCAAAAAAAATTAATGTACGGGCTCTATTGTTGGAGATGTAATTCTTGGAATATAATTTTGTTGAATGGGAAGCTATATTTGGATATGGCATAAACTAAGGAATTGCATGAAGAAAACAGTGACATGCTCACCATTCATTTTTCAGACGTCCAGTTTTTTCAAATTATGCGCTTTTAGAAATCCTAATTGACACAAAAAATTGTTGACTAAATATCAAATAAAATTGTTCCTTCCACTGTACAATGAATTCCCATTACAAACTTTATAAGTAGAATAATCTCCACCAAGCTCGAGTATATTCAAAAGGTTACGCAAATATTTACATTTATCATTGTTATAAAAACTTCTTGCAGTTATATGAAGTTTAAAAAGTATGTACATACCTTTATGAGTGCTAACTAATCGAATTAATATCGGCATTTTAAAGCAGGGAATTTGGAAACCATCTGAATACGTTCAAGCTTCACAAAATTCACAGCCAGGCAAAAATGATGCATTCATTCAAGACGAAAATTACAGATCACAGTTTTGTCTATCAAATTTATTAAGACGAAATCCATAAGTTTTACCAAATTTTCAAATTCATAAATCGAAAGTATCCCGAAAATTAAATCACAACCTTAGCGTCTAAGAGTAAAATCAACAAATAAAATAGTAAGTTACACCTTATTCGAACCTGTTCATCCGAAGCAAAACGAATTGAATAAATCTGATCTCACTGAACAAAGCCACGAAATGTGACTGACAATACAGAGAGTTATGAACTAAAAAATCGGTGTGAGGTAAGCACTTAATGGTTCAAGCTATTGGAATATGTTGTAGTGTTTCGCTGGTATTTTGTATTTACTATTGTTCAGTTCCAACCAGGGTGTCCCGTAAGTTATGCCTTCAGTAAGTATTAAGTATATTTCAGATTTAAATAAAAATCTTCAAAAGCATGCCTCTTCTACGCTTGGGAGATAGTAAGTAAGGAATTTTAAAATCCTATCACTGGATTAAAATAGAGCAACTAAAGATAATTAAAATATCTAGTAACATAAGAGAGTAAACCTTAGTTAAGGTATATGTATAATAGCACGATAGGAGTGTTAACGCGATTCAGAAAGGCAACTAGTATCACCAGAGCAGGATTGCCTCTCACAACAAAGCTAACAAGCAGTCCCTCTCATGATGGTTACAATATGCCATATTGCATGGCTAATCCTGCAAAATAGAACTATAATGTAATTTTAGGAATGACTAGGCCGTTCGAACAGCTTACCCGAACCAGCGGGTTAAAATGTTAAACTAAACAAGGCACTGGCCGTCATCAGTTGGTCTCATAGCTAGTCAGTAAGGCTGCATCTACAGGCTCCATACAGCTGGGACATGTAAGGCTACGCATAAGCCAATCATCTATGCATGTCACATGGTAAGTGTGCATGCACGGAAGGTAACGTAATGCGTCGCCAACCTGAACACCGTATTTATTTAATCAAATCAATCAAACAACACGAATTAGTAACGTACCATAAATTCGCCCATACATATAACGCATTCTCTGATTTTTTTGCATCCATCGTATTTTCCAGTTGGTAGGTGTTGAATCAGTCCAATTCTTTTTGCGATTTTTATCTGCTCCTCTTCGGTTAGTTGCGTCACTGACCGAGTAACACTTGGAGAGGGATGATACAAAGGTGGCGTGCTCTGAACTGATAATGCCTCCTAGAGGTTTAAGGGTCAAAATTGTTTGCTTTTTATCTACAACTGTTTCTATATTTTGTTTAGTTTTACTGCAAACTAATAAATTATCACTAAAGTAATATAGTACTGCGCAATAAGACTGTCGTGCGAGCAAGAACGCATAGAACCGGTTTCAAACCTATTATAATAAATTTGCAACATGCAACATTAAAGAAATAGTTAGTGCTAAATATTGTAAATAAAATTTAGTTGGAGTTATTTGCCAAGGAAAGAGATTAATTTCGCATTTTACGCGACGGTTTAGCCACGGAAAAGTTTCGTTTCATATAAAGATTACTCTAGTAAATTAATGTGTTGAGCAGGAAGCGACAAAGCACGTTTCTATGTACAAAGTGAGCAAAAAATATATATATATATATCGTAAAAATTTTATAACTCTGCTACGAACTACAATATTGCTTTGATGTCACCATACCGAATTTAATCGAGCAAGAAGAATTCAATTTGTGTAATGGCCCCAGACAACGATAATGTAAAGTAGGCACTTAACTGTTAATTAATGTATTTAATTACCTGGTAACTTGGCGGTCCTACAGGATCTGAGGATGTTTCTCTAACACTATCAGTCCCTCTTAAAAGAGAAATATCATCTGTTGTAGACCTCTTGAAACAATTACCCATGTTTGTTTTGTCAGAATATCTCGACTTTATTTACAAATAGAGTGGGTAACTACCTCCATCATGATTTTGAAACAATTGAGATTTGAAAGAACATGTTAGTGTCCAGCACGTGAATTTCTTTAGAGCAATCTAGCATTTAGTTGTTACTCGCTACACATTTGTTAAACTTTCTAATTTGTTATTAATATTTCAAAGAACAATGAACATTTGACAATGCTTGTTCAACATGACAGAAATGATAAATGACACAACAAATTCACCGACAATGTTGCGATATCAATTTTCCATTCCTACAAGCTCAGAAAAACACATCCTTTATCTCCGTCAGTTGTGCGGTACTAGAGTAGGACAAACATTGTTGTCTCATAAGATCAACAAGCACAGAGACTCCTTGCACTTTATTCGTGTATACTTGAGAAAGATACAAGAAAAACAACTGTTTTCAAAGAACAGATTGCGGTATTTGCGCAGATTCACGATAAGGACAGTGAAACGTGTGATCAACAGAGACAGAACAAACACTACGATAACCTCTCGACGGCAGCGTAATCAATTATTTGAAATACAAAAGCCACTTTATTTAATTACGATTTTCCAATATTGGTTTTTATTTATTGCCAGATTTTTGCGTATTAGTTTTTTAATTCTGAGGATGCCTGTTTATTTCATTTCCTAAATATATTTTTCCAATTTCTTAAAATTATTTTTTTAAATCTCCCGAAAACACTGGAAAAGGGAGTAATTAATAAAACAACAGTAAATAAATATAAATATATTTATTCCAATTGTGATTATACATGAAACAACTTGTAAAACTTAAATAAAATAAACATTGTACATGTATCACATATTGATTGTGGTAGAATTATAGCAATGACTATGTATTATTAGCTGATTATGAAAAGCAATAAACAATATATGTAAATTAATAAAATTTGTAGGTAAATAAACTTTACAATTACGGTATCACGTTTTCAATAAAAACACAAACAACAATTACAATAATTAAAAATGAGTCACTGTCATACATCTGATGTTTTACCTGTTAGAACTGTAACTGTTGTCTTATCACTTTCTTGGTCCTCCAAAAATCGGTCCATAAAATCCGTGAAACCCGGCTGGAAGGAATACTTCTTTTTTTCCAAGCGGCATTTATTTGCAAATACATCATGTCTCTCAGTTTTCTTCCACAAATAGTAAAACTGTACTAATTCACCAACGGTCCTCGACTGAACCTTCAACAGATACTTCAGAATAGAATATTAGAACTCAAACTGATCAATCAATCGATTAGCGTAATGAATTGAATGATGAAACACAGGCATTCCTAAAACTGCTTAGTTAATCAACCACATAAGATACAGCTGAAGCACATAGAAATATTATTAAATCGCATAGAAGCATCTAAAAACTTTCGTAACGACTATTGAAATCAAGCTTAAATTGTAGAATATTTATCGAGAACACTTACTTTGTCTAGAGATCACTTCATCAAAATATTGGCATCAAATCTTCATGGAAGATCTAAAATGAAGCGAACTAAACATTGCATTTATGTGAATTGTGAAAGCTGTGATGACTTCTGTAAATTCACCTGAATTGGTATGGAGGTATATAATTTATTAGCTTAAATTAGGACAAAATCATGCACTTTGTTCATGGATAACATAACACAAGTCATGAATGATATTTGCCTAATGTATGAGCAAAATTTCCTCTATATAATTGAAAAACGTCTACACTGAAACATTACCGCAAAAATCCACATTCTTTGACAAACCGTAATTCTAATTGTTACAAATTGGCACAAAAATGTATGACTTGTAGTTATATTTTTCAATCTATGGACACCCGATGAAACCCCGCAAACGTATGATGAATTAGTACATGCACACATGATGTAGTGAATGTCTTGTACTTAAACAATGAAGAGTTAAATGATAATGACACACTAAACGATTTGTTAATAGCGGCAAAAAACCTATTGCAAACACTATACAATCAAACCACATAAACCTTGAACAAAATAAATATATTCCAGAGAAACCAAACACAGTACTGATTTATTACACTAGCACAATTATTACAAAATTATTTGTAGAAAATTTTTGGTTTAACATGTATTTATGTAAATATGCTATCTTTAAATCTACATAATCAGTATATTACCAACTGATGGATAATTATTAGACTTTTGTTTGGAGAAAATATTACTTTCGGACAATGCAGAATATTTATTTGCTGAATTTAATTATTAAATAGCAGAAGAAAACATTCTCACAAACTATTTATGGAATAGGTCAGTCAATTGTTAAAAACGCTAAAAATTTAATTTTTACAAATTCACAATACAAAAAACTATAAATTTAAGAATTTAGTTAGACTTCCCAATTAGAGAAATCCAGCAATTGACTGACTAAAATTTAAAACATAAAACAATTTCAACCATACAAAACTTTCAGAGTATCACAAACCCACAGATAAACTTCCGCTTTGTTAATCTTTTACCTTGTTTTGTTGAATTTGCAGGAAGTCCTTTCCAAAAGAACGGACTCCAGATTCGAAATTTCGACATTCCTCTTCTGACCACTTGGCTTCATTGCCATTTGGTACCTTTGGACTGGCTGGACCTCTCATTTCAAGTCTCCGCAAAGCTTCTGCCGTATTATAACCTATTGGAAAGATATATTTTCAGTAAATCTTCTCAAATTGTGAAATATTTAGCCCATAAAAAATACAGAAAAATTTAATTAGTATTTGGTAATTTTTACTTACCACATTCTTGTAATAAATAAAGCGCCTCCTCATCGTCTCTGAGCATGGTTCCTTTTGGAATAGGAGGATTGAAAATTTCATGCGCTTTCTGCAGATATTCTTCCACCTTTTGACTAAATGCTTCTTGCGGGCTCCACAATAATTGATCGTCTACATCATTGGAGGGCACCTGTTCATAGCTAGTGAGACTTTCCGGTACTTGAGCTTGATAGTCACTTCCAACCATGATATTCTAAAGAAAATAATGGTTGCAGTAAAAAATTACGCAAAACCACAAATGGCTCACTTACGTGCACGCCTCCGCTAAATTTCTGGTAGTCATCTTCCTCTGGATTAGATTCCATATCCTCCTCTTCGTCCTCGCTTATTTTAGAAACAGCTGAAAATTTAATTTGTTTATAATTGGCCCCGTCCAGTAAAATTCTCAATACTTGTTAAGTTTTTAGCATCATCTGCATCTTCTACAATAGGCTCATAAAGGAGGCTGAGTTTTGACTGCCTTGGCGGTGTCGGGGATCGTTCTTTTTCCACTATGGGCTCGCAAATTTGTTCCTGTTCATTTGGGACTTGCTCTTCATCCTCTTCTTCGGATTCGGAAGAGCTCTCTTTGTCTTTTGTGTTGTAACCATAAAGGGCTAGCAGTTCTTCTAAGGGCATGTTACCTTCCTGAAAGATGGATCAAATATGAGAACAACTACAGACAAAATACATTACTTACCTTTTCCAAATTGGAAAGCTCCGTTGAAGGGTCATTTGCTTCTCCTTCAGCCAGAGCTTCCTCTTCTTCTAGAGTTCTTTCGTCATCAAAATCATTGACAAGCATATCAATGGAGGGATCAAAGAGCTTATCTTTTGTAGGTGATTCATTTGATTTACTACAGCTTGGACTCTGATCTTTATTTGCTGGGTCTGCTGGCTCCATGGCCAAAAGGCTTTATTTCATTCCAATATGTCCAGTAAAGGTCTGAAACGGATAAATGATCTGGTTGGTACTCCTAATGCTAGTCAGTGCTTGCGGCATGCGTGGGCAAGCATACAAAATTGTTTGCAGGCGTGCTGAAGCTCTGGTAATTTATTAAACAAAATTTGCTAATGAATAAAAGCCCGAAAGAGGTTTAAATCTAAAAGTTGAAACAGAACAAAGGGGGTATAAACTCCACTAACATGTAACGTGTTTTAAATCCCACCAACGCTTTTCACTTGCTGCTACTTGCTCTGATAATGACTTGAAAACCAATATTCGTTCAATTAGGAAGCAAACTGTTTGAAACTCGTAAAAACTTGCACATCAATGAAAAAACCCAAAACAAACTGCTGTTTACATCTGTCCTCTGTCAAGCGGTGAACTGTCTCTGTCAACTGAAATAAATGCATCGGCGTTGCCTGCATACATGACTGAAACCTTTCGTTAAAAGAGTTGCCAAATTTCCACGAAAGTAGCTAATTTTAATCCAAACAAAAAAGCAAAGTTCAAAATTAACACGGCAATATAAAAACTCAAAGAAAAATGAGCGGTTACAATTAGGAAGAATATCTAGTCAAACTGTCGGTGAATCGCCGTTCTGGTGGAAATAACGGCTTAACATTATTGAAGAGAAAATTAAAGCAATTCACACCAAACCAACAAAAAATTGCCGAAACCAGCCTAAGCCTTAAATGTACGTATTGTGATTTTTAAATATTTTGATGCATGCTTGAGCAACGCTTGTTGTAGCACTGGATATTGCAACCCTTTTCTATTATAATAGAAAATTTTGCTGGCATCAACCCTTTTCCTTATTTTCGGGGAATTTTTACACTTAGAGTTGTATATGCGGCTTATTAGCGGAATGGTTTCGCAAAAAAATAATTCTTGAAGACTGAGCCAACAAGCGTAATTCTTGTTAGCATACTGGATAGAGCGATAATGTTTCTATAGTTTCCCAGACTTTCGTTCTTATAGCGCTGCTTATTGATTTTTGGCGATTTTATTCACATTTCGCTGTTTAGTCAGCCACCTTGTGGTAAAAAGGATTTGCAAAATAATTTTCAAAAATGTATTTCTCAAAATCTGGTACAGCTGGGAGAATGCGGGCACCGCAAACAGAAACAGTCGTTGAATGTTTCTGAAATTTGGATTTTTCGTGCTCTTTTTGCTGATTGTTGCCAACTTTTTTTCACATTGGGCTTCATACTGTACCTCGTTGTGCAATAATGATGTCAAGTGCTTTAAAAAATATATTTCTCGAAAACTCGTCCAGCTAGTTAAATGCGGTTTACGGCACTCGATGAAGCGTCCTTTTTTCTATCGTCTGCCATGCAAACTTGCTGAACGTACACTTTCCGATGGATTGCCATGATTTTTTAAACATTTTGATGCGTCAATGGACTTTGCAGCGGAATGAGTTTGTTAAGAGATTGTTTTAAAATCAATTTCTCAAAAACTGTTCTAGTTTTAGAAACGCTGGGCTAGCACTAGATAAAGTGAATATTTTTCTATTGTTGGAAAATATTACGATTGTAATACCATTTTTAATAAGTTGTGGCGAATTTTTACATTGACGGTTACATACGCGGCTTCGTAGTGGAATGCTTCTGCAAGTTGAGTTCTGCAAACGTTTGAGTCAATAATAAGGAAGAAATCGTCGATTAAAGATCGTGAACGCTCGAAAAACGCTTGAAATGTGCCGAAAATGTCTATTATTTCGGGTCTGAAACGTCTAGCATGTTTTTCAATCAGTTCGATGCATTCCTCACGTCCGTGAGCTCAAAATGATGTACGATTTCAGACATTTTGAGAAAATTTTCATTTTTTCAAAAAATCGACTCCCATCCTCAGAAAAATTTCGGCCAAAAATCAAAATTTCACATACGTGTTTTTTTTTAGCTCAGTCGATTTCTTTCGACGTAAGAAGCTCACAAATATGCATTTATAAGGTGTTTGGGTCAATAATAGAGAAGAAATTGTCGGTGATGCAGGTCATGATTGCACTTTCTTCCTTAAACTGAGCTGCGTTTGTTCAGGATTTGATCAGGATTTACCCTCCGTTCTTCCTTTCATTAATATCGGTTGCGCATTATTTAGTAAGCATTAAAGCATGATTTTTGTGGATGCTAGAATGTTATTATGTTTTGCGTTATTCTTGAAGGGAAATTCAAAATATTCATTGCAAAAAACAATTCGTCAACGGAACAAAGACCAAGATTTGTCGGTTTTTAATGTTGTAAATTGGCAGATGTACATTTAGTGAGTGCACTTGACGCTTAGATTGAGCAGTTCGAAACTTCCATCTTTAAATGAAAGGCAATTAAACGCTCAATTAGAACTGATATCTGGAAGAGAAAATTTTTGAGAAGTTTCCGCAAGAGTCCACGTACGGAATTTTTAATTAACAATAATTTGCAAACATATTTCTCAGAAATAAAGCAATGGTTACGACACGAAACGAATTAATTCACACTGCGCCGCTGGTCTTGTCCCGTTTTCTAATGTTGTGAAGGCCTTGAGCATGATTTAACAATTAAAAGACGTAAAAGTAAATGGCATTTTTATTCGGAAATCGCCTTTTCCAGAAATACTGGAAGGTTTATAAAGAGGGTGAGATAAAATCGTATTTTTTTTTGTAGGAAGTAGAGCTGGAGGCGGTTTCGTGAAGTAGGTCATAGGAATTGGGGGCTTTGGGGATGTTGAAAGATTGTCGATGAACCGAACCCGCACGGCCCTTCGTATTGACGTCGTCAATGTTTCGCCCTTACAGAATAAACACAAATATTTGCCAGACCACTTTGGCTAAAATGTTAAATAAAATGTGGGCGAAAGAGTTATTTAAGGTTGAGTAAACCAAAAGAGCATGATTCCAAATCGTAATGCAAATCAAATAAAGCCAATTTCTTGGCAGAATTGAACAATTTTCTCAGATGTTTTTCAAATGCGAAAAAGGCCAAAAGATGGTTGCTGAGCAAACCACCTCTGAAGATGGAAGCCATTCGTGCTTGCGAAACGTCCGCAGAAAATGTTTTCCGCAAAGGCCTAAAAGCCGGAAAAACGTACCAGCTTCACCCCCATTATGTTTTTAGGACCTTTAAAACATCGTGGAAAAGAATGGAAATTCGCTTCCACGGCGGTCTAAAAGCCGGAAAAAACCTCCAGTTTCATTTTCCGTATATCCTCGTTTCATGATAATGCACGTAAAGGGCTATTACTCCGATGGCATACATAAACGTGTGAAGTTGGAAATCTGGTGCGGTTTAACGATCAAATACCGGCAGCATTCACCTACAGAATATTGAAAAGCAGGTGAGGGACATGTCGAGTACATCGACCTAAATATTGCTACATAAAAATCAATAGTTTAATTATCATTGTAATTTAAATTTCAAAAGTATAATTTTACTGCAACAAGCATGATTATCGATGAAAAACAAAAGATTGACTATGTCGCACTAATAATTCCGAAAAATTTCATTGCAACCGGATATTGGATTGTTGTATTGATAAAAACTGGAAAACAGACAAATTTTCTTCCTGAGGCCTTTTATCAAAATGTCCCAAACACCGCAAACTTGCATAATTGCGAAGGTCCCTAGGTCTCTCTAGAGGGCAGTTAAAAAACTCGCATTAAAATGTTAGTTTTTTTGCCGAAAATTTCGCTTAAATGTGGAGGTCGATGTTTTGGGTTAGTTTGGGTTAGTTTTGGTTATTACAAATACGTATAATTGCCTCCTTAGGTCAGAAGCCGTAAAAAAACCTCACATTCGAAAACTTCATAAGGTGGAAGCCTATTTTTTGAAAAAAATCATCAGAACATGGAAATTCTCAAAAAAAAACCTTGCATCCGGATACTGAAATGTTGTATTCATAAAAATAACTGGAAAAAAAGACGAAATTCCTTCCTGAGGAAGCCTACGTAAATAAACGAAACGCCGACAAAATTGAATAACGACTTTTCTTAATTTATGATTCCATCCCTACAAATTAATTCGGAAGGGTTGCAGACATCATTTTCCGAATCAAAAGCAAATAATTTCAAATTTCCAAAAATCCCCATAAGCATGCTTGTTGGTGCTGATGCCGCAGACCAAATAATGCAGATGTTTCAACGTACAAACTTTTACTGCATTGCTAATGGTTACATTTGCAGAACAATCGCTCATTAATTAGATTAAATAAGGCCAACTGAGAGGACGAGAGGAAAATATTTTTGTTTCAGTGCTCATGCCCACCCCTGTACAGTAAAAGGGGGAATGTGCCTGTGTCTGTTTTATTTTAGGGCAAAATGCCGCTTTCTTCTTATTCCTTTATGACTCTTAAATTCCGCAAATTCATAAGTTTATGTGAGTTTGCTTGAAGTTTGGAAGTTGAGCGGTTTTTCAGAATGCGACAAAAGTATCGATTAACGTTTCTAATGTAAAACAGCGGAAATGAGTTCGAGTTTTAAAATAGGAAGCCAATTTGCGGCCTCACATGGAATAATTGAGCGATTTTCGAACAATTTGCCTTGTGAACGATTGAAGGTGAATTGTGCCAGGGAAACTATTCTCAGTAAATGAAGAGAGTTTTTTTTAAATTTTATCTGGGTGAAATATAACAAAAGCGCTTCCAACAATAAACTAGAGTTTCATTGAAAGTACGTCAGCAGCAGATGCTTGACACCAATATTGATATCCATTGGCAAAACCAATATAAAAGCCGGATAAAGCTGCCATCATATGCAGTGGTTTTTCCACTTAATGGTCAATATATCCCCAAGTGTTTCCCTCAGGCGTCGCGGCGCCGGCGCCACGTTTAAACGCCGGGACGCAACGCAAACGCTGATGCGGGATTGATCCCCAGTTTTCGTTTGCGGTTCGTAGTGAAACTCGTTCAATATTTACTACTGAAGACAATATTTTTAGCTTTAATAGAACATAATTTTTACGAATATAGGGTGAAGAAGAAAATGATTAATAATTATAAGGTAATTTTTTTAAAACCAATTTCCTGCTACTTAGTCATAATTTATTACTATTTTTCTAATGCATAATAGGTCAAAGCTGCAATCGATAGTTTCCACTTATGCTTGTAAAAGCATAACTTTATGCGGGCAGCAGTTATCATGGTGGTAAGTGTTTGAAATTTAATAATTCCTCCTTCAGGAAACTTTTTGCGAGCTTATCGCAAACTTCGTAAAACAACGACTGATTAGTTTCGAAACTTATTTCCATTCTTTAAAAAAACCCTTTAGAAAGTCAGAGAAGTTTTAATGGGATTTACGAAAGTACATTTAACTTTTTATTTTTTTAAATTTATTGTCGCGCTTACTGATCAAACTGAGATGCAACCAGGAAGAATAAAAAATTGGATGCAATTGTAACTTTCATTATCCAAGCCCTAGATTTGATTGCGCTATGTTCAAAGAACCGATAAAATTGTCAGGATAATATCATGACTTAATTGGTCTCCTCCACTATCTATGAATTATTCATGTATGAATTATTAAATATTATCGAACATCTGGAGGAAAATTATCCTATATAAGCCTATCGCAGGTCTTAATGGATAATCGATGAATGTGGGGTTGAGGATATTAACTAAACGCCATTTCATCTCAAGCATTTTCGAATTCATTTATAGATACGGTTTTGCTATTTTTCTTCCGATCCAGTGAATCCATTGTAATTATATAGATCGATATTGCAGGGCAACAAGAAGCAAACTGCAGTTGCATTGAATGCAGTTTTTCAATAAAGAACTTTTCTTCAAGTTAAAGGCTTAACTGTTCAATGGCAAACTTATTGATTAGAAAGAGCTTTCGCGAATATTCAGCCCCTTTGGCGTGTCGATTCGGGAAATCCTAGTTGTGCACCCTCTTGGAAGCGACGAAACGTCTACACTGCATAACAACTAAATTTAAAACGTGTTTCTCTTTTAACACATACATATGCATTTTGTAAAGAATGAAAATCATAATACAAATCGCTTAATATTTTTATCGCGAAACGACATAAAGATGAATGGTTTCAAAAAATGTATCGTGTTTACTTTTACGCCTCGGGATAAATGAACTGGGGTTTCTAATTTATGAAATCCAGCGAAAAAGCGTATTTAGGGGATGCCTTCTTTTTTATCGTGTTTGCGCGTTCTTGAATTTTGCCTTTAGCAATAGGCCAGAAATAATTCAATCTCCGAGAATATTGCTTAATAAGTCTCAGAAATAGCTGTCCAAGTTGCAATATGTTATATACGGCGTACGGTTTCTTGGCCTCAGAGAATGGGGGCATAAATATTGCGAAAGCCGTGCTATTTCCTCCAATTTGGCGAAATAAGGGCGAATCCTTCCTGCATGGTGTGTTCTCAGTTGCGTAGGATTCCACCCTCATCCCTGCGCCACCGCATCATAAACCGCACAATTTATTTATCTTTCAGGGAACCTCTTTTTTTCATTATCCTTTCATTTCTGTTGCGTGACATATACCAGTAACCAGTAGATATTAGTTTCCCAAGTTGTTAGAAAAATTTACAATTGAAGGGAGATTTTCATTCACGTTTTATCGGCGATATCAAGACGAAAATGAGTAATGGAGATGGGTGTAATCATCTTAAAGGCGGCCCAAGTGGACAACAATTAAAGCAAGGCTGGGCAGTGTGATATAATTGTTGATGTGGGTTCCGATTATGATCGAAAACTGAACGTCAGCTATTTGAAAATGCATCAATTCACAAACCATCTTGCTCATGAAGAACTTGGTCATTTGGTCAGATAGCTTAACACTGGCCAACACAAGAACAATATGTTGGTTTTCCTATTTCTTCATTTAAAAGCTTGTTCAGGGGTATGATATAGTTGTTGATGTGGGTTCCGATCATGCTCGAAAACTGAACTGATTTGATCGTCACCAAAGAAGTTTTACCGAAACTCTAAACTCTGTACGTCCAGATCTAGTAAAAGCAAGTTCAACAGCATGAGGTTAAGCGGAGCAAGTCTAATGTATGCCCACTTTGGTTTGGAAGTCCTGAAGGAATAAACATAAAAACAGCCACAAAACCCGTAATTAGTGAATGTTTAATATATTGTTGGCCCATAGATATGAAAGCTTCATAAAGGAATTAGATGCGATAGATAATGTCATTGCAATGTATCCGGCTAAAGAAAAGCCAAAATAAAACAGCAAATTAAGAGTTTTACAGTTGAGGAAAACGATTACAGCAGAATTAAACCCACAAAGCAGTTTCTGATCCCTTGTTT